AGCCTTCAGTCCAAGTGCCAACACAGGGCAGTAAAATACTCCTGCAGCGAGACACACAGGAGGTGGGCAGGAGCGGAAGGAAAATGACAGTAGAGCTTGTTTCCCCTTTTAAAAATAAGCATAAGTTTTGGGGGTTTTATCGCTGAAAATAAAATGACTTGCAAGTATGCATTGGGTGATACTGGGAAATTTTATTTTTGGAAGTACTTTAAAGTTCAATTGCTAAGTTTGAACGCAGGTGGGTTTTTTTTTATTTTATTACAGAAAGTACCTGCAGAATAATGTTGAAATATCTTTAGAATGGAAGCAGTATATGATTTGAATTTTTTTTCTGCTCTACACGGTAAGACTGGATACAAGCCAGGGTAGGAGGCACAGGTTGGTCACAAGATCCAGAAGTCATAAACAGGCCCTGGATGCTGAGAAAAAAGCCATAACATTGCTAATCTTCTACTTTTTGTGAGGGACTCGGTGAATTCCTTCCAGCCTGAAAATGTTTCTCACCCCAGAAATGAGAGGAACTGTTAGGAAAAGAGAAGAGTCTCAGCTTTAATTTGTAAGATCATGTCATCTAATAGTGGATGGAGGAGGGAGACGATGAGATGGATGTGAGATGTTACAGCACTTAAAACATGAGGTTTTGGTTTAGTGTAGTTTTAATGTGGTTTTTTTTCCATCACGAAATCTTCCTTTGATTAGATGCTTCCCTCATTAGAAACTTTGTGGAACGTAATTCATTTTTGTGTTGGCAAATTAAATACTTTATTAGTCCAGGTACTGTTTCTTACGGCTGTAGTAGGTGAAGCCGTGGCTTCTGACATTCCATAGCATAGGTATGTGCAAACTTTTATTTTCCTGGATGATTATGCTAAGCGTAGCTGACGCAGACTTTCCTGTGAGAACGTAAGATGTAATGTGAATAGGTAAGTAAGTGTGGTGAAACCTGTTGCAGTAAATGTGCTCGAAGGGTAAGTTTACCTTTCGTTAGTTGGTGCCTCCAGACTTGTACTTGAGACAAACTAATTAAAATTAAATGGTAGCATACGAAACTTTCTACTGAGGAAATGCTTATTTTTAATAACTTGCTGTATATAATTAAATTCTGAAGTGATAAAAGTGGGCTGCTGTTCTCTGTGTGCTTAGTACTGTTTCAGTTGTTTTGCCTTTCCCTAAAGACAGAAGCTATGAAGGAAACAGAGTAACTTGATAAGAGAAGCTAATTAAAAGTATGTCTTGGTCTCTTTAAATGTTTCAGAACTCTAGGCTTTTTTTCCATTGTGTTTTCTGCTAACAATTCTAAGGTGGATACAAAGAAAGAATTTGAGCGTGGAAGAGTCTTTCTTAAAGCACAAGAATCTAGATGCTTGAAAAAACAGTGACCTTCTCATTGCCAAAACCTTGTGCCTACCCAGTATTCTTTGAGAAATCTCTTAATTCATGGCACGTTTTGATTGCAACAGCTAGTGTTGATTAAAACTGCAAATGCAAGGTTGACTGCTATATTTGACTCACTTAACTCCGTCAAAGAGGGAAGGGTGCTTTCACCCTGTCCCTTGCTCTTTTGCCCAAGATAGCTTTGGACTCTGCCCTTCACATCTGGGAGGAGATGGGAATGTGAGAGAGGGGGAAAGAGGAAGGCAGGAAATAATGTACCTCTATGACTGCTTGTGCTACCAGATGATGTACTTGAGCGCAGCAGAGACTTTCTTTAAGACATACTGAACTTAGAACTCGATGTATTAAGAGATCAAAAAGTGCTTTATCTTTGAAGAGCAAATCAAGGTCTTATGTATGCTTGAAAATTGTGAGGAATTTCTCAGCTATAAAACTTGTTTTCCTTAGACCTCCTCTTATTTTTAGTAGAGTTAACATGTAGTTATGGAATATGTATTAAATAATACATGTGGTATAATGTGGAAATGAGCCTGTTAGTTGACTTTCTTCCCCTCCATTTATATATTACAAAATGATGAATAATGGTTAGAATTAAATGGTAAAAAGAGCTTATTTCTCAGAGCTTTTTGTCAAAGAATGTTGTCATGGTCAAAGAAATGCTTGCATGATAAAATTTTCTCTACTTTTGTTTACATTTTATGTAATTTAGAGGTTTTGAACTGTGATTAAAGACCAAGCACCAGTGTGTAGAAAGAGTTGTAGAACAGCCCTGATGTTCTGTCAGTGTTGTATGATTCTACAAAATGCAGCTGGGAAGATGTTGCAAATATAAGATTAATAATCAGAACTTTTAGTTACCTTTTACCAATCTCTGTTGGATGAATCCAGGACTTGTTCCGGGAATATCAGTTTCATTCCACATATGAATGTGGAGTCTGTAGAAAAATCTGAATAACAAAAGGGTGATTGGATGTCTACCCATAAGCAAGTATCTTCTTAATGAGAAAGTGCTTAGAAATTAAAACTGAAAGCAATACCTATAGGCAATATTAGATCGATAAAGAACTGATTACTCTAGGTACTACAATAATTATAAACTGTCCTGTGGGATAATGGCATGTTTGTATTTGTATGAAGAGAACTAGATACTCTAGTAAAAGCATTTTGTAGAAATTAACTTGTACATAAAATAAATTATTTCATACATAAATTTCATTATTTCAAGCTTAAGTTAGGCTTTTGGTCTAACTCCAGATTTTAAATCTGGTGGCTAAACTCACCTTAGTGATCAATGTTTTATTTTCCCCCTCTCTCCTTTTTCTTAATCCGTGTCATCAGTATGTTTATTACCTTTATTTTAACTGGCCTTGGCAAAGCAGTTGTGGTCAAGTCATCTATTATCATATTGTTCATTTGAAACAACTTGGTTTTAGTTGTTACTAGTTCTTAATACCTAAAAGTTAGCGGTATCAGTGGGACACTGTGGAGCAGGGCAAGGAGTTCTTAATAAGAAAACAACCTTTAGGAGTTTGTAAAGTTATTTTAGGAGCTCTGAGCAGAATAAAGTTCTCAGTTGGGAAGAACTTATTTTTAAAAGTTGCTTTTTTTCCTCCTACTGCTTGAAAACCTGGGAAATATCAGCCATACTGTCTTTTACTGTTATTTTTCTATTAGCTCATCTTTGCCTTTTTTTTTTTTTTACAGTGGACGAACTACATTCATGGGTGGCAGGATCGATGGGTAGTTCTGAAAAGCAACACTCTCAGTTATTACAAGTCTGAAGACGAAACTGAGTATGGCTGCAGAGGCTCTATCTGTCTGAGCAAGGCTGTGATTTCAGTAAGTGCTGTTTCATTATTGTCATCTTTTAGTGTTTTGAGGTGCTGCATATTTGTGGGCTAATGTCTGGTGAAAGCATCCCTATTAGGTCATCTATTAGGTCAATTCTATTAGGTCATTTGTTATGAAAGTTAGTGGTATCAGTGGAGCACTGTGGAGCAGGGCAAGGAGTTCTTGATAGCAAAACAAGCTGTTCTCATTTGTGGCCACAGTAAACAACTTTTCATCTCTTATATTAAGAGTTTTCTGTGGGTAGGGATACAGTTCGCCTCTGGAGGCTGCAAAGTTTTTCCAGGCATCAGCCTAAGATCCCAAACCAACTTCCCGAAGGAGATACAATCTGTCACAGCATTTACACTTTGCATTAGAGAGAGAAGGGAGTAGTCCTTTGACTATAGTTTCTGAATATGACTCTGTAGAACATTTCCAAAACAAAACGTTCTGCCACGTGCTTCCTCCTCTGAACACGTTAGTGTGTTGCAGTTTTTGACTAATGCTAAAAGATCTGGTATTACACTGGTGAGAATAAAGAGCCTTACATATAAATGAAATCTCATAAAGATGACTTGGCCTTAGAAGATAAAGAAAAAAAATCTGCTTTTTGTAGCTTTCAGAATTATGGTATGTACAAAACGCACGCTGTAGCTTTTCTGTCTTACTGTTAAATAGTCAGTTCATTTATGTGATTCAGGCAAAAAAATAGCTGGACTTCTGTGTAACACACAAGCTCCTAGAGTAGTAATGTTAAATCTTATTATTTATGTTATTATTCCACCGAATGTGGGTTTTTTCCAAATTGAATTACAGATGACAAATGAGAAGTTTTCTTTCTTCTTGACATTCAGCTTACAAATAGAATTTTATTAAACATACTTGGTTTGAAAAAAACAAACAAACAAACCCAAACCACAAAGCAGCACTGGATTGATTATACCAACTGTATACGTTTCAGAAAAAAGCTTGTGGGAAAAAAAAGCAGATTTTTGTATTTAGATGTCTGATGGGTGTTGTGGTCATCTAAAAATTAAAACAGATTACCTTATTTATTTTAAAACTGTTTTTTAAACTGCATGGACTTTTAAAACTTGCTCAAGATTTGACTGACTTGGGAATATATGATGTACAACAGTCTCTAGGAATTCTGACTTAAGTGTACTTTTGGGAGTCTATAGTACCAGCCTCTGATCAGGACTTCCAAAATGGTCTCCAGTTCACTAGCAAGGTGCTTAACATGCCAGCCATGCAGAGACAGGAAGGTGGTGGCAAGGGCATAGGCCAAGGGAAGTCTGGAAGCATGCTGTAGACCACATCTCAGCAGCCTGAATTCCAGTCATGGTGGCAGAGTGAGAGCTGATAGTGATGCTGCTGTTGCTGCTGGGATGTTTTGGTACATTGCACTTTGTGAAGGCAGGTTGGTGAGCCTGTCTTCTAACTAAGAAGTGTGTAACACTGGAACTTCTTACAGATAGCTTTTTTTCCTCTTCTGTCTGGCAGTAATTTGGACTTGAATTGTTGGATTTTTTTTTCAGTTCTTGAGTACATTGAGAAAAACTACAGGGTTGAAGAAAGAATAAGAAGTGGGCACAGTTCTAAAAGTTCATCTGGTATTTTAGTTGTTCCATTTTCATTCAGGCTCATGCTTTGTGAGTGGTATTTGACAATTTAATTGCTTGATTGTGGTTAGAGATGGCATCTCTGAAACCTAGTAAACTCCTGGTAATTACTTCTAGCTGCAGTTAAAGTGATTGTTGTGTAAGAATGGGAGGTTCAGGAATACTGTTGGATCATTTCATTTCTCTAGGATTTAGAAACTTGTTTTTGAAACTGACATAAGATTATTCTATCTCTTATTTTTCAGAAGTTATTCTAAGCCAGAGTTTCAGCATGAATGCTTCTGGTTTCAACAGTTGTTTTGTTAGCAAACTGAATATTTTTTAAACCTATGATTTCAATAGAAAATTAATTATGTCCAAAAATAAATGTTTAAAATACTTCTCCTGAAGTACATAGTTAATCTTTACTTTCATGTCCTTGTAATGTCTTACTAACTATAGGCTTACTAGCATGTATTTAAATGCATAGGAGAACACCAATAGCTGATAAAATAAATATGAGGATGATAACATGTGAAACTACTTTTGTTATCAGTGGAACTTAGGTCTTTACTATATGTCTTGTGATTACTTTGATAGAGAGGGGAAGTCAGGTTTCTTATGGCTTAGTGTTCTGTAGCACTGATTTGGTGTAGTTGGGATCTTAATCTTGAGTATTTTTCAGCAGTCTTTCACTATACTGAAAACTTAGTTTTCCTTGATCTTGCTGATCTAGAGTCAGGCATCGTAACTACCTATGCCCTAAGCTGGTATATTTCAGGATGTTTTCCTTCAGTACAAAGCAGGACATGGGTGTTATAAAGTCGTGTTGATGGCTCTCATGCTTCCTTGCAGAAAAGGTGATTGGCTTTTCATGAAGCTTTCTTTAAACACTCAGATTAGATATGCATGTTTCAATGCATGTAATGTAATGATTTTCTATGTGTAATTAATGCTAATAATGGTATAGAATGTCCGCATTTTGTTGATGTGCAAGCATAGATTTGGAAACCTGCTGTCACTGAATAGTCTTACTGTACTTCCAGCAATGAAGATCAACCTGATAAGTCATCGTATTAATTGAGACGTGAATGTTGTATTCAGAAAGCTGCAATTGCTCTTGTTTTATCATTCTTATCACACTGGGCAGAGATCGATAGACAGATAATTCTACAAGCATATGTTATAAGAAGACACTTGTCTCTCCCCTCTTTGTGTAATGAGAGGAAGGTTTGTTAAATTAGGTTGTTAAAATACTTCTTTAGGTATTTCAGGTGTAGAATTATAATGTCACCCCTCCAAAACAGGTAGGTTCCTTTGACAGTAGTCTTTAATTGAATGAAAAAGATGAGGTCTGGTTGGACTACTTGCTATATTAACCACTGGGACTGAAAAAAATTGTTTTTTCTGGAGTAGAGGACTAGAGGATGAATATTGGTTGTGCACTCACTGGATTACATCAAGTAATGAACTGTCAAGAACTGGCCGTGTGAATTAAGTTATGGGGTAGGACAATGAAAGTCAATACATGATGTGGAGTTGCTTTTAGCCAGATAAGGAGAAATACTTCTAAGATGTTTAATTGGTTTAATACAGGATGGAGTCTTGATCTCAAGTTAAAAGTTCTCCTGTGTGGTCAAGGGATGAGAAGAAATTATGGGTATCATAAAAAGTTCATACATACACAGATTTAAGCTTTATTGTATTCATCTAGCCTGAACATCCTAAATTACTGCTGTAGTTGGTTGTCAAAGCCAAATGGCATTTATTAAAGATATCCTTAATTGCTGTAAAGCTTTGTTTTTCTTTCATTCCTGAAGTCAAACTTTCAATAGGGATTTCTGTGTGCAGGATTAGGAGTGGATGCTGACGGCAGTCCTCTAGTGGTGGATCTCTGGGATTCAGATTTGGAATTGGAAGGTCTAGAGTCTGTCACTAAGAGAAGAAACAGAAATGCTCAGTGGAGCTGGAATTCCAACTTTCAGGCAAACTGGCCTTTCAGCTTGTACTGGCTTTGCCTTGATTACTGCATCTGCTCTGATAGTAGCATCACTGCTATTGTACAGAGTGACTTGCACTAACTCTATGGTATACACAGGATAAGTTAAGCTGGAAGGGAACTCTTGAGGTCTTCTGCTGTGCATGCTGCTTCAGGCAGTCTCACAGAAAGGCCAGCACTAATTTAGTCCTGGCGGTAATTTAACAGATTTTCAAACTATTTACACATTATTAATGACAAAGTATTTTTCTCATGAGTTGTAGAGTTTTTTAGGAAAGGACTTTTCTGGTCAGGATAGCTCTTCTACATGGATTCATGTGGAGGATCTTGAAAAATACTTTTTTTCAAGAAATGTCGTGCTTCCTAAATTTTAAGAATGTTTAAACTCAACTGTCTGTGAAATTTTTATTTTTTTGTCACTAGAGGTGACTACATTCAGGAAAAGTTGCAAAAGCTTATATTCCAACTTAACTTTCAGTTTTTCTTTGGATAAGAATCACACTTGCCATGTTGTTTTAATACGGTGTTTGGTCTTCATCTTCCTTTCTGTATATATTACTGATGTAGAAAAATTTCTTGATTTCTAATTTGGTAGCTTAAACAAGATGCAGTAACTGTGACGCAATGATTTTCCTCGGTTTTAGTTATGCTGTGAGGATGCATACTTAATGTCAAAATCTTAATGGAAACATGCTGTTGGTTATTAGTCTTTTCTTTTAGAACACTTCATTGCTGTTGTGTTGCGAAGAGACATTCAGACAGTTCTGTGGAAATGCTTACACCAGGATTGAGCAATAACCGATTTGCATAATGGAGATATTTTCAGTAAACTTTTTTTCCAGAAACAGTAGTTAGAATACTGCTTAATGACGGCAGTAATGATGTTTTATATTAATATATAAGTTGCAAGCCATTCCCCTTTAGAATGGACTTCTGAAAGGGTAAATTTCTTGACTATCTGTTGTGAGTATCTGGAGCTCAGGACAGGCAAGAAGATAGAAAACTAAAGTCTGTTTGAGAGACAGCTCAGTGATTAGCCTTAGTTTTTTTTTTTCCCAAAATAATGATAAATTGTTATTGTGAAGAAACTAATAAATATTCATGTCTCATAAATTAGGGCTGGTATAAACATGTGTCTGGTTCCAGCTTATGAAAAGAACAAGAAAACTACATGTAAAAGAGCTAAGCTGGCAGTTTCTAATTTTAAGGTTCTCATTTCCTTACACGTAATCTGCAGAAAGAGTGAGATGGTTCTTTCCAGGAATTAGCCACTAATAATTAAAAACTTACCACGCTTCTTAAAGATACAGTTCATTGAACAGCCACCCTTCCTCACTGTAGCAGTATTTCTGGTTTATTTATAGGATGACATTGGCCACCATTAATAATTGGGCACTTGTGAGAGGAAA